CATCTGCTTTTTTTGGACCTGTGATAGAAATGATTGAAATTTTAAGGAAGTACTTCATAAAAAAAAAAATCAAAATTCAAATTATCAACAAGCATTAGTTTGTTGTTTATATTTTTTCGGTCCCTTGAGAGCGATTATTGTATCAGGGCACCGTACGCAAATTTGTGTACGACGTCAAATGGGCATTTGTCACGTGGCAACACTGTAATACACTGGTTGGGTAGGTTTTTTAAAGGGGTGGGGCCCTCTTGCCGCGTGGCTCACTCCCACTAAATTCTGGATGCAAATTTTACGTCCGGAGTCCGAATGTAATAATTTTTCCTTGAAATGAAATGTACACGGGGCAATTGAAATTTTCAGGAAGTACCTCAAAAAAAAAATTCAAAATTCAAATTATTGACAAGCATTAGTTTTTTGTTTATATTTTCTCGGTCGCTTGAAATGATATGCACTCGGGGCAAGATCTGCAATATGGATGTGCAACATATTACAAAATTAGAATTATTGAAGGATTGGCTAAAAATGATGAGATAAGTAAATATCAGTAGTATTTTGATGGTTTTGCAGTGCAATATTACTGCAGAACTATCAAAATACCACCAATTCATATGTGCGGTGTTTGCACGCAATATTTGCTCATAACACTATCTTAAAGACTGACCAAATTTGTAAGGGTCGCCCTCTCCTCTTTACCTTCCTAGGCTCAAGAAATCGAAGACAAAGAACATTGGGTGGAGATATTTTAACTGGCTACAAGAAACTAACAATTGTTGTATCATTTCAATTCAAAACTGAGACAATTTCATCTACAACATGAATTGGAGGTCACAATGAACTGCAGGCTCTCACCAGATATTTTTCGCTTATTTGTCCTCCACATGACAACAACAAGATTTGCATATCTAACACCTAAATTTTTATTGTTACATATATTGTTACATATATGAGATCTTATCAATGCATAAAAAGTGTAATTCTTACATATACCACACAATTTTTTTTATGGATGTTTTGCATATGTAATTCATAAGTATTTACATATCTAACACCCAAACTTCAATTTTTGCATACATGCCACCTTACCTATGGTTGGAAAGATGTATTTGACATTTTAAAAGTTAAAATGGTACATTTTCTTATGTGATGTAAAAAACTTGGTATAAGTGTAAAAAAAAAACCAAAGTTTAGGTGTAATGTAAATAAATAGGGAATTTGTGGTAACAAATCAACTACAATTAAAGTACAGTTCAACTACAAAGTTTAGGTGTTATTTATGAATGATGACCAAGTAAATTCTATTTGTAAAATCACAATTTTAAATAATTGTAAATTTTTTCACTTCTCACTGGATATATAACAGTTCAATTACAATTAAAGCACAATATATATATATATATATATATGTAAGCATTTTAACATCTCAATCATTCATTAATTAAATTACATAATATTTGCTCATGCATCAATCATATAATAGTAAATCATTAACTAAAGTGTCAATGATTTGCTCCCGTAAGTCCCGTAAGTCATTTTATCGACTCCTTCTACATTACCTATGTAGGGGCTGACAATATCATCATCAATTGTCCCAACTGATATTCTCATATTTCAAAAGGCACTAATTTGTTTTCATCTACACTTGTGAATTTAACATCAAAATGCAAATAATTTCATATGAAATCATGCATCGCCACTGTTGTTGCAATAATTTTAACTTATTTTTTGAAAGACTATAGGCTTATCTCATAGAGTAGCCCAATTTTTTCTTCCAAACTCCAAAAGCCCTCTCAACAACACCTCGTAATGATGAGTGGTGCTTATTAAATCTGGAATGTGATATTGTGTTGGACAATGACTTAAGAATTTATGCTGTATTGAATATCCAACATTCACTAAATAATATTTTTCTATTAGAATTATTAACAATTAGTTACTCTATAAAAAGTTAATATAAGGCTTACTTAAAACTCAAACAATCTTGAGGCGACAAGGGAAAGTTATGCATATGTGATCAGGTTGCAAACTTAAAGATTCGACTGTTGTGTACACCTTCCTTCTAACCAGCCATGATAAAAATAAAACACATATTAAAGTCGTTTGCTATCATAATATTCTATATAGGTGAACTGAAACATTCAATGCATGAAATTTTATCAGCATTTGACACACATATATCAACACATGTTCCATCAATAACAACAATACAATCTTATATCACATCATAATCAATTTAAATTTTAAAATTCTTTGAATTTTTAAAAAATAGAAATTTTTGCAATATACCTTGAACTATGATATATATCAATGATTGCATGATATTCTCTAGGACTATTTCAAAATGTTGGATTTTTAGGTTTGATAACTTCAGAAGACATTTATCAAAGCAATTAAACCAATGAAAAAATATCTACTGATAGTTTTAGATGAGTGTTGAAATCCTTCACGGGCTGACCTTAAGACTCATTATGCGATAAAATGTAAAGTGTTATATCTAATATATTTCTTGAAGTCATTCTAGAAAGGTCACAGAGATCATGACTAGTGTGCAGTTCATTCAAAAGATGAATAAATATTACTCGACTCATATGAAATATATTATGGAATCTCATTGGATGACTCCAAAGCAGTTCATTTATCTACCCGTCCTTGTAAATGTGAACTTCATAATGGAGTATGAGATATGTATAAATCATAGTACTCAGTCAACACATATGCAGCTGTTGTAATAGTTTTCTCCAATAGTCTCGTTGTTCTCTGTTATTATGATTCATTGTTGTAAAACTTATAATATTATTACACAATAAATATTACACATAATGTATTTGAGAATATAATGACACGAGTGCTAATGTAGCAACACATGATATCACAAGTATAACATGTATAAACATCACAATAAAATTTATCACAAGTTCTTACACCGCAACATAAGATATCACAAATATAAACAACACAAATACTAACACTATAGTCAGCGCAAATTATCACGCGTTCTTCACAAGATATCACACTTAGAATAAAATATCATAATATCAAATGAGGTGACACATCAAAAGTAATCCCTCTATTCAAAAATATCATCAAAACAACTAACCATCACGAGTAAGTGTTTTACCATTACCAAAAAAAAAAAAAATGAAAAGTAGTTGTTTTACAAAAATATAAAATGTATTCCACTCAAAACACATCAAACTAATAAAAACTAGTCATTGCTATTTTTATATTAGCAGTGCAAGTGATGAACTCTCGTCTCAGTTGTATTGATATAAAAAACCCCCCTCGACAAGATCTTCAAATAATTTTATCGAGTATAGACAATAAAATATCATCATAAACATCTGTTTTTTGTTCTAATATTGTTATCACATCAGGAATTGATGGAGATAGTTACGAGGTGCTATCCTCATAAGATAATTTTGTGCATGATGTCACTAATTTTGATATTTGATTTTTGAGAAAGATGGACCATTTTTTTTACTGTAACCCGTCCTTGTTTTAAGGAAGGCAAAATCCTAGCATGACTAGATTCACTATGTTCATTTATGTTATGTGATGATAAAGAACAAAATTTACTGCAACCCGTCCTTCTTTTAAAGTAGGATCAATTGGACTCTCTCTATGTTCCTGCAAGTCTTGAGGTGTCCATACATGTTTAACAGTCACAAGAACACCACTAGACATAAGATTGAACTTCTTCTCTGGCTCAGCTTCAACTCCACCACACCTAAATTTCTTAGCAATTGACAACCTATTATTCATACAAATCAAAAGGAAAAGTCATGTCCAAACATTCTATAAAAAATCAAATAGAAATACAAATGTTTTAAAATTTATTTCACTTTTAACTTCTCCTTCCGCCAATCTATCGATGCATATATGGTGTTTTTAATTGGATCACAACCAAGTCTATTATATTCTCTTTTAAGCACTTTGCATGCTTTCAAATATTTATTTAATTGATCTCATTTATTCTTTATTGAGTTCGTTCATATAATCTTCCGGTTCTCTCTTGAAAATTTTTTAAATGTTTTGTTATTCATCTTTACTGAAATGTGTTGTTGGTCTATTTCCTAATTTAATCCCTTTGAAAGGAATAACACAAAAAATTATTTTTGATTCTTTCGCATAGATAGCAGATGATCTGTTATCTTTTGTGTTGCCCATTTGTTATTGGATATAATAGGTTGATATATGATTTCAAACGTTTCAATTATATGAAAATAACTAATTGTCTTTAAAATTTTCAAGAACATAAATGAAATAATTAAGTAAATCAAAGTTCATTACATCAATCTAATAAAGAACATGATAAAAGATCACAAGAATGAAACATAAAAGACAAATAAAATATTTTTACTTAATCATTATCAGACATTAAAGAGAAAGGGATGATTTATTTTATGAACCTTTACATACATATCACACAATTCTTATGGATTTTCAAATCTAACATAATTATATTATATAGTTAATGTTTTTGACAAACAATAGATATCACAACTATGAACATAAAAGATAAATTTCTAAGTGTAATGAAGCCTAAAGAAATGAACACTAAAACAAATGATAAGCATCAGTATTTCTTTCATTTTAAATCATGAAAAAGAACCACAAGTAAAAAATAACTAGAGAATATTTTATTTATTACACTATGAATCATGTAAAAAAAATGTATTACGCTTCAGGTACAAAAACTTGTCATTTTATCTTTTCTGATATACACCAACACTTTTACATAACAATGCTACATTTATTTCAAAATTTCCAGCACTCCTACCTTTTACCTTCCTCCTTTTTAATTTGAGCTTGTAACCAACAATGTCATACTAAAACATCGATCAACAACAAGCATAAAAAGGATGCATGACTTGGTGGCACTGGAGCTACTCTAACCCTTTCATGGATACTTTGTTTCTCGTTTTGTCTCTAAATGTAAAACCACTCATACATTCGAGCATTCTGGTCTTTGCAACACTCAATTTTATGCTTCTCTTTTACAGGCCAACATTCTGCGCTATAAAGCATTGCAATTCTCACAACCATCTTATAAAATTTCTCTTCAAGTTTAAGAGGTATTTTTCTATGACACAATAGGCTGATGCATTCCTCCACTTCAACCATCCAATTTAAATTTTACTAATAACATTCACATTCAAGTTGTGTAAGTTCGCTTTGTTGTCATATGGTCGGCATGTGGCATCTCGATCATGATTGAAACGCGCACAACATTGGTCTATTTCAAGTTAGTGCCTCTTAGCGGCTATATGGTAACAAATTTTAGTGTGTTTTAACTTCAATTTTCCTATATAAAAGATTTGTAACTCTTAACTCCAGGATTTAGTAAACCCATTTCCTGCCCAACTTCTTTTTAATTGTTTTTAAATGTTAGTAAATCTGTATTTACAATATTTATTAAAGCTGCTAAAATCATTATCATACAACCAGTTGATCATGATTACAAACTATTCATTAGTTTTGTCCTAACAATTAGTGATTGTTTGTATGGATTTTCATTTTCCATCAATTTAAATCAAGCATTATTCGAGATATAAAACATATTGAATTGGTACCTTTCAGTTGTTGAGCTGTTGCAATCAGGATCTTATTTGATGTCATTTTCATTTCTATTGTTTTAACTATCTATTAGATGTTTAGGGTTTTCAAAGATTTGTAGTATGTAAAAAACATATATAACGGTATAATTTTTAGCAGTGAAATTGATTAAAAGATAACATTGTGACATTATTAATTATGAATTTAAGGCTAGTATGAGATCATATGGTAATAATGAACGACTATCCAGACCCAAAAGAGAAAATACAATACCTAAAGTAAATACCAAGATAGGAATCTCCTCCCATTTCTACTCTGGAATGGGAAGGGGCTACAATAGACCAAGTCTTTTGATGTTTGGTCTTAACAATCTGACAGGGCAAACGCTTGGCTATAAGCTCAGTTACATTTGTTTTCATACCCGGACACCAAAATAGCTTCTTAAGTTCCTGATACATCTTAATACTTTTCAGATAAGCAGAATATGAAGTAGAATGTGCCTCACAAAGCATCTCATGTTGAAGCTCAAGTTCAATATTGGTCAGGATGACACTGAGATTTCAGGACCGGGCAAGCCTGGTGAGTTGAGTTTAAAAAAAGTGTTCATGTTCAACACGTATGCTTTACAAATAAATAGAGCATGAGCTATTTAAGTTGATCACAAAATATTTATGAACAAAAGAATTTTGCGCTTTATTTTATCATATTCTAGGGAAGCTTTATTTTCCATTGAGGAAACAAAAAAGGAAATGTGAAGATGTTCCTAATTTTCATCAGGATGTGTATGACACGTGTTATTTAATATTTTAAAAAAGAGTGATTTTTTATCTTAATTTAATATTGTTTAGTTGGTATTTCAATGAAATAATATTTTGCATATAAAACTAATATATCTATACGAATTTTTTGCTCTCCTTGTAATGACATTTGCCCAATTGATTGCTTGTGAATGCCTCAATGATTTTTGTTTTGTTGTGGATTTTTCATCATTTTTTTCATTATTCTTTCATTGTTTCTAAATCAAATTATATGATTTTATGCCATTTAAATCATAGTTGAAATTTTGTTGAAATATGTTCTTATGAGATGTAATTTTGTTGCATTATTATCAAATAAATCAATCTTTTTTATTATTATTTAGAAAAATATATATCAAACAATAGATGGATCCTTAGCAAGCTATCAAAAGCATATTATTGTGCAATTATTAGTGTTCAATTATTTGGATGGATTGATAATGAGATATCATGTTGCACAGATTAATTCTTAGCTTATGTGAGCACAATACTTCTATAGACTGAAAATTATGTTCACACCAACTAAATTGACAGATATTTTGAGTGTCAAGTTATTTTTATTTTGTTCTTGAATTTATTAGGATGGAAAAAAAATGTTTTGTAATTTTGAATCCACTTTTAGTAGTAATTTTTCACGACTCTTAGATCTTCTTGCAATATCGCCCGAGTATTATATTTGTACATGTATTTGGTGAGAGAGAGTCAAATGTTTGCGTACAAGTGATTGAGGGTCTGTTTGTGGTAGTTATTTTAGAGAAAAATGATCTTAAAAAAGTTGTGGTGGTTAGTAAATATTTATTTTATTTTCAAAAGTTGCACCGTAACTTTTTGGCAGTTACCGCAGTTAGTCAGGTCGGGTTGTAAAACATAGCTTCCCACTAGAACTTTTTTGAAAAAAAAAACAAGCAAAATGTAGTTCTTATGCACAAGTCAAATTGCAAAAAAGCAGGCTAAAAACTTAAAAGTGCAGTGTGGCACTGCATCGTTGCCTGGCACGCACCAAGTGCTGTGAAGCATGGGCTGTTCACGCAAGTATACAAGATGTATCAATAATATTGAGTTTGAGTCCAGTTGTCGATCCCCACATGGAACGAGGATAACTCAACGTAGGAAATGTTCTGGCCATTTACTATTAGCAAGCCTGAAGAGTTTCATTAGCAAGTTCAATTCTAAACCTATCTGAAAATAATAAAAAACATGTTTATCCTAACAAGTAAAAGGATTCTTATATCAAATTAGGTGATGAGAATTTTTTCCTCTTTAATGGATCAAGTGATGAATAGAACTAAGGATTAGATTCAAAAATAGTGACAATCAAGAGAAAATTACTTCTTTATCCCATTCTGGTGGTCTAAGGAAGATTAACAGTCTTAAGCTTAGTTCCTTAAAATTCTTGATCTGCTTAAAGAAAATTACTCCTAGAAGATTGCAAAAATCCATCGACAATATCCCTATTCCAATTAGTTCATGTTGTTAACTCTTTTAGTTCCATAATGAATCCTTCTGGATATTAATACTCACAAAAGGTTTTAACAATCAACTGACCAATTAGAAAGTAAATTAAGTTCTCAAGTTAACAAAATACTATTAAATTCAAATCAAAGCACAAACAATCTTAAAACCTTTGTCTTACCCATTCAATGTTTCAATTAAAGAGAGAAACAAGATGACTGCTCACTATTCTTGACAAATCTCATCAAAGAAAATTTAGTTTATGCATAAATATCAAAATCCAAGTTTTTACAAGAAAATTCTGAAGAAAATACAATGTAAAGGCATTTATCTCCTTCACAAACAAGTAGTTTGAAGATGTTACTAACAACAAACAATGAACTCTCTCAATCCTCCCAATCTCTTTCTTTTCTTCTCTTCTAATCTTTTTGCAAAATCTTTGGCCTTCTCCTCCAATTCCTCTTAGAATGACAAAAGAAAAAATGACAAAAAAGCCCTCTTTAATTCATCTCCATCCTTTTTATAAGTTGCCCAAGTGAACATGTGAACAGGTGCATCCATCAATTAGAACTGCCAAAACTATTTCTAGCGCCTAAGCGCCCACCCTACTCCATATGAACTCCTTATGTCGGGATTGGTGCCTAGGCACCGCGATCGTGATGCCTAGGCGCCGGTAGCAGCGCGTAGGCGCCTGAGAGTTAGCACCACCTTTTTGCACACTAGGGTTTGTGCTTCATTTAGGAACACAACATTTGCTCATTCTACAATTTGATCCCTTTTAATCCCCATTCACTCCCTTTCTTGCTACAACCTATAAAAACGACATAAAACCTTCCTCAAAGTCCAATATCATCAAGTAAAATACAAGTAGCAACAAGTATAAAATTATCAACACATCATTGCCCCAAATGCGACCTAAGTCACCCTTCGATGTAAGGATGAAGAGTAGAAATTAAAAATTCATAAGTGTAATCCCATATATATTTATAATTCAAATAATTATTTATGAAAAGATTTACATACACATCATTAAATTCTTATGTAATTACATCATCAAATACCTAAACTTTAACTTTTACCTATATGTTGCACATGAAATTTTACTTTTTAAAATTAAAATAATTGTATTTTTGACGTAATATAAAAGATTCGAGCGGCATAAATGTTGGTAAAATTTAGTTGTTAGATATGTAAATACATAGTTATTCTGTGGTATGTATGTAAATACTGCATAAATTTATATTAAGAAGATCCATACACAACACTCAAATCTTATGTATTTACATGGTTAAGACTTAAATTTAAATTTTTATATGAGTAAAGTGTTAAAATAGTCCCTGATTATTTATATGAGGTACTACTAATTATTTTCTATAAGGATCTATTACATAAGGGTGCACATGAGTTGAATCGTAACTCAAGCCGAACTCGTTTGCCTAAATACAAGCTCGAGTTGAGCTCAAATGATGATTCGAGCTCGAATCATGGTACTAATAGTAGGCTTGTAAGCTTGATTGAAATCGCCGTGGGAACTCATTGGAGAAGCCATCTAAGTGATTGATCGGGAGAGAGAAGAAGAAGCACCCCCAACAATTTACCGGAGAGAACATTGACATGAATGGAATCTGGCTAGTCGAGCCTCAATAAGCTCGTGATCAAGCTCTGGGTATTCGAGCTCATTTAATAAACGAACTTGAGCTCGAGTTTGTTTCTTCATAAGCTCAACTTGTGAGCTAGTTAACGGTCGAGCTCAAACCTACTCGGATCACTTAGTCGCTTACACCTCCAACTTCCACATAGCCTATAATGAAATTCAAATGAAATGTAGCTTTCGACTTACATAAATGAATGGCAAGAACTTCTTCATCATTTTAATTGTACGTTAAATTCTTAGTAGAGGAATGCATATATTTTTAATTAAATGGATTGTACTAATCCAATGTCTATATCTGGCCGTATGAGACATTTGACTTTAGCCTTTTGTTTTCCACAAATAATACATCCGGTCCTAACTTAAAAATGTGACAGCCTACCAAATGAGAAAATATTACATGTATGATCTAAATGTCCGGATAACGGTATAGATTACATCATATCATTATGTTCAGAATATCTAATATCTTAATGTAATATTTCCTCCTACATAACGAGAAAATTTTGCGTATGTTGTACGTATTCGAGCTACGTACGGACGACATACGTGATATACCGGCGAGGTGTTTTTTTTTTTTTCCCGCCAATGTATCGTGTCGTTCGTCTGTATGTAGCATGCGTACAGATGACGTACGTAAAATATTTTTCCTAGCTAACAATGTCATATTTCAACAACTCTTTAAATGAAATTTATTTTTTTTTAATTTATTTCAAAATAATGAATATATAAATGAATTGCTCATGCATTGATCCTATTAGTGAATATTCACATTGATGACATGCATTGTCCTTCCAAGCCGTAAGGAGCAACAAAGTCAACGGGCATTAGTGTTCAGGCGAATATAATCAGACAATGCTCGACTCTATACAATTAGAAGTCATATGATATATATATATGTATATATATATATATATATGTATATATATATATATATATGTATATATATATATATATATGTATATATGTGTGTGTGTGTGTATGTATGTATGGAGATCATGTCGAGGGACTGGGGGTATCTCTCATACATCTTTTTACATGAAAATTTTTGTTGGTATTCGTCCGTGAATCACACTCAATGAATAAAGTATAAAAAGAAGGAGAGAGAGAGCGTGGAGTGAACAATAATAAATGGTAATCTGTCGTGTTTTCTTCATAAAATGACCCACCTATTTAAAGAGAAGATAGTATAATATCGTGATGTTACATTTTTACCCTTGCTTTGAAATGCTCCGTACTGTGATATTTATAGTATTTTATATATAAACATATATGAGCTTATCATTCGACTGTTCTTTAACTTGGTTGACTAAGTTTAATTGGCTTTAGGACATCAACAAGATCAACTCTGTCAGTTGAGATCCGCTTGCTTGGTTGAGATCTGCTTGATCTACTGAGCTTGGTCAATATGAGTCGACTTGTTGATATAGCTAGGTTGTTGGTCCTCAGTCTTTGATTAAGAGCCCCTAGGCTTTGCTGGGATGGTTGGAAATACTAGGAAGTCCTTTTTTTTTCCCTTATGTGGGCTCTCTTTTGGTGGTTGTCTTAGATACACTTTTGTCATGTTTTAGTCTCGGTGGCTGTCTCTTGCATCCTTCTGCCGTCTTTGGCCAGTCTCATAGTTCGGTCGGCTTTGACCTTGTTGACTTAGCTCAGACAGCTTCACTCGGTCACACAAGTAGACGCATGATCTTTTGTCAGTGAGCCTACATTCGTTGTACTCTTTTCATTTGAAATGTTAAATCTCTTCAAGATCAAAGCCGACACATTTTTCATATCCACAATATTATGAAAGTCTTATTCTCCTCATTTGAAATGCTATTCTCTCTTTGAACCACTATCTCTAAACAATGATACAAAGAGCATTTTGTAATTATAGCATCATTCAACTAATCTATAAAAAGGGAATCCATTGCCCTCCTTCCTCATACCACTAAACCCATGGAGAAAGCAACAAATATCTTAAGAACCTCAATACATTCTTTGTTCACCAGCTATGACATCTTTGCCTCCATAGCCACACTCCTCATCCTCCCCTCATCTGCCTCCACTCTCCTCCTCCCTCCTCCCAACACCTCATCTCCTTCCTCCACCCTCCTCCATTTCATCTCCATCCAAAAACCTCAACTTTCCATCATTCCATATCCCAAATTCGCTCACACAATCCTCTCCCTCTTCCTCACTCTTCCCTTCACACTCACCTTTCTCCCCTTAGCCAAAGCATCCATAATTCTCGCCTCTCGTGAACCTCATCGTCACAACCAATCTCCTCCTCCAGTATCCTCGTTCCTTCATCTCTATCGCCCCCTCGCCCTCGCCCAACTCTTCAACACCTTCCTCACCCTATCAACCAATGCAATTCTTCTCATCATCCTCTTCCTCCTATCCAATTCCACAAAATTATTCAGCATTGACTCGACGGCCATAGTTGTATTGATTTCAGTCGTCAGTATCGTCCTCTACACCACGATCACCTTATACATAGCTGCCATCTGCAATCTATCAAGCATTATTTCAGCCATGGAGAATTGTAGGGCTGATGAAGCTTTGATGAAGTCCTCTGTGCTGCTTAGGGGAAGGGCTGCCATTGCTTTATCACTTGCTGCTCCTACTGATCTGGCCATGGCTGCCATAGAACTAGTGTTTCAAGCAAGAGTGATGAAGCCATATTTTCAGAATAATAAATTTGATTTATCTTTAATCTGTGAGGGTTTTACAATAACTTACATGTATTCTATTATTACTGTGCTTCATATCATTATTACTTGCTGTTTCTATAAGTTCTGCAAACATGATTCTTTAGGCAATTGTGAAGGCCAGTTTGGTTATGGGCAAGAGTTGAGAGAGGAAGAGAAGGGTATAATTGTAAATAAATTCAAAGGAGAGGAGGGTTATTATGCAAATATAATTTTCTAATCTTTTCCTTTTTTTATATCTTTTTTTTTTTTGTATTTTTTTGGTTTATTGCATTTAGTTTTTTTAATTATTTATTATGGAAATTAGCAAAATAACATTTGTTGGTGTTTTTGTGTGATTTAAAGATGTAGATGGTATATATGTAAATATTAAAGTTTAGGTATTAGATGTATAAATGTATAGGAATATGTGGCATGTATGTAAGTCTCCCTAATAGTTATTAATATCATGTGGATTGAAATTGCCTATCATATACTTAATAGTTTAGCTTTGCTTATTCATGTATGTATATTTGCATACATGCCACTTAATTCCTATGTATTCACATGTGTATTATCTAAACTTCAATCTTTTGCATACATGCCACCTCTCCTATGCATCCAAAGATGTATTGCACTTTCTGGAAGTTAAAAATGTTGTAAAATTTAGGGCGAAACAATGCAAATCCAGAAGAAGAATACAGAGATTTAACGAGGTTCGACAAAGATGCCTACATCCTCGGAAGCGAGCTGCGAATTTCACTATTTTAGAAGAGTTAGATACTCATAAGGTTACACATATATTTATAGATAAAACTCACAGATAAATTTATAAACTCGCGCTCGCTCCCCCAACCCACTAATCCAAGAGACACATCTCTTCACACCAAGAGACACTCCTTTTCATTTCATGAGACACATCTCTCTATTCCAAGATACTCCAAATTTACTGGTATATGAGTCATACCTGACAAAAAGGATGATATTTTTTATATGATAAAAAAGATTTAGATGGTATGAATGTAAAAATTAAATTTTGGGTTTTAGATATGTAAATACATAAGAATTGGGTGGCATGTATGTAAATGCCCCAACAGATTCAATTATAATTGAAGACTTTTTAGTCACTCAACTATAAATACTAATTGGTGCTAAGTAAGGGTCTCTTTGGTGCAACTGTAACTTATTGGATAATCTGTTAATAAGCTAGGTGCGGTGGCTACTAAAAATTTTTATTTTTTTGGAATAGTTAGACCATAGCCAGAAAACTGTCACCACAGCTAGACATGTGCGGTGTGAAAACACTATTTTCAGCATTTTGAAAACACATAAGCTACCAAAAAAGTTGTTTGCCCAAGCAGGTCAGGTGCGTTTTCAAAACGCCACCGCACCAAATAAGCTGCCTCAAACAGACACTAAGACTTCGACGCACACATCAAATCAATTCCCAAAATACTAAATCATATGCCTTCATAACATCAATAAAAAATAATACAAAATTTCTTTGGTTTTTATATTTTTATTAATTTTTAATATATCAAATAATTTCAAAATAAATTTAATTTCTCTAATTATTATAATTTTAAACATCTTTTTTGTCTTCAAATATTAATATTAAAATACTTCTTTTTGAATTTTTTACTCTTTCTATAAATATCTTATCATTGGTCTTTATTATTATTATTATCATTATATATATATAATACAATGGTATAGAGTAGCGCGTAGCCTAATCAATTGATGTGCATTGATAATAAGATTCTACTCTCGACAAATTGATGAAGTCCAGCTGACTAGCTGAGCTAACCGGCCAAGCCAACTTGCCAAACTAACTGGTCGAACGGTGGAACGAAAATTCTGTCGAAACAACCAGTCGAGCTGATTGGCCAACTCCAACTACCTAGTCCTATCAGCTCGAACCAAACGGTCGAGCTAGCCGAAGCTGACTCACAATTTATCTTGGATACAATCATGAGCAAGCAAAACAATTGTTTTACTCTACTTGCAATATTTGTTTTTATGATATATATTGTGTCAAAACGTCATGGTCAAGACATTTTTACTCTAAGAAGCAATCTAAAGGGATACAATCATATTTTATTATTATGAAAATTTTGTTTTGTTGCCATCCATTTGCTTCGTAACGGGGGCAAAGTCGTACGTTATACTCTTTAAAATATAAAATTCATTTAATTGGAATTTTATGACAGGTATTTACTTATATACCGCTAATTATTTACGTATTTACATATGTTATCAAATAAATGGTCAGAGGCTATCATACAAACCTCCAGCCACCATAATATGTCTAACAATTCAAATATCACCCTCCATAAAATAACCGTCGCCAGAAAGGGATTCGAACCTCCGACCTCAGAGGACTTACAAGTGGCTCACAGGTGTCAACTAATAAGCGCGCACGGGCGCGCGCGCACACACACACACACACACACACACATATATATAATTAAATAACTATATATAGATAAAATAAAAAATATAATAAATGTTAAATTTTAGATTATTACCTTCCATTTTTTTATTTAAATATCAATATTTATTAATACCAAACAATTTTCTTACATATCTAACACCTAAAATTTATTTTCTTACATTTATACCACCCAAAACTTTCATTTCACATCAAAAATAACACCATTTTAACTTTTATAAAGTGAAATCCATCTTTTCATGCATAGGTAGGTATGGTGGCATGTATGTAAGAAAATAAAATTTAGGGGTTAATTATGTAAATTAATAGGAATTAAAGGTTATAAATGCACAAAATTTATAAAAATATCACACAAATTCATCCTATATGCACCTGCTGGCAATTAAATCAAATAAAATATCAATTACAAACTGTCTCACTATTGTTCTCTGTGCAATTACAAACTGTATAAAAATGTAATTTTTCTCGCTAATGCTAATGTAATTACAAGCAAAATAAATGATCATAAACCCCCCCTGTATTCTACATATTTTCATTTTCGCCCTTCACCCGAAGGAGGGCGACCGGCCTACGTACATTGTTTCTTGAATCTGATCTGCCATGACTGTTGTGATTATCATGAGATGAGGAGCTGCTTCTATTAGCAGTGTTGGAGGTGTAATGGCTGCTGTTCCTGGCTGCAGGAACATCATGGTTGTGCTTCCCCTCGTAGGTCGTTATGACGGCTTTCCGGTCGGTCGAAGCCCTTTCGACGTGTTTTCGAACTTTGCATCCCACGCTCGTGCACTTGTAATAACTCCTGAAGATTAACATTTATACAGATCGTTGTCAACATCATTGAACTTCGAAATTTATTGGCATTTATGCCACGTGCACCGTAGCATGCGCCCAACAAAAAAAATTAGAGTAAAGTGTGAAAATGGTATTTTAACCATTTACATGGGGTCATTTTAGTAATAAACACGTTAAATTAGTATCCGGAGTATTTTAACAACTCAAAATAGTCTTTATTAAGAATTATTTCAACAGTACTAAAACAATCTGAGAAATAAATTGAGATTTCTATAAACTCTAAGACACAAATGACCACTCTGCAATGAGTCAGGGGACCATTTTGACAATTTTCTCAAAAATTTACATACTCGCACATATCTTATGTAATTATAATACTTATTTGAAATTTAAATTTATAACATGTTACTGCTATAATTACATCAAAACATATGCATGAAAAGGTACATTTCAAAACTAAAAAGTTAGTAATAGTAATACTTTTGAGGTGATGTTAAAAGGAATTGATTGTTATGCATGTAAATTTCAAATTTCAGGTGTTAGATATGTAAATATTTAAGAATTGTGGTATTTATGTAAATCCCCCTGCTTGATCACATTTGAGTACCTTATGATACAATATTGGCAGTTTGATGGTTCAGATAATGCAGCACATATAAGGTCAATATCTCATTGGTCAATCACAAGGGGGACTAGACTTTGCATGCATTTGTGTGTATTAATCACAAATTATACAGAATATCTCCTTATCCATGAAGATAATAAGAAAATCATGCTAAATATTTCATAAAAAACTAGACTTTTATGAAAAAAAAACATCTAAATAGAAGTTCATTTAATTACATCATTAATATATTATCAAAACAAATAAGATTTGAAAAAAAACAAATGCATTTCACTTTTACAGAGATAGTGACGATGGTATTTTTAATGTGATGTTAAGGATTTGAGTGGTGTGGATGTAAAAATGAATGTTTAGGTGTTAGATATGTAAATACATAAGAAGAATTGTGTGACATGTATGTAATTTTTTTTTCTTTTATTTAGAGTTGCACTAAATTATGTTCGTCTAAGGGGACATATTTAAGTCGACCTTAGCAGATAGAAAGTTTTGTGTAAATCAATTATACCCTTTTTGTTATTCACAACTCAACTTATAGAATGATAAAATGTAACATAATTTAGAGCAGCTCCAAATAAATTGAGATGAATTTTGAATTCCTTTAACTTAAAATAGCTTGAAACTCATTCATAGGGGTTATTGTGTACAAAAAAATTAGAAAGAGAATTGCATACCTTGGATTAGGATTTCCTTTTACTTTTTTTTGCCCATATTTGCGCCATCTGTAGCCATCATCCAAAAGATCAACTTCACTTGTTGTCTGAAGAATGATCCTTGGTTCTGTTACCGTCCTATGAGAAGATGACTCTATCATCCTAGTTTCCAAGTTTCTGTCGAACAAAACAAAGATTTCTTTTTAGGGGCATTTACATAAATACCAAATAAACCTTACGTATTTACACTTCTAATACCGACACATTCATATTGACATTAATACCACTCAAATCTTTAACATCATATCAGAAATACCATAATAACCATCTCTTTAAAAGTAAAAAAACACATTTTTAATGCATATGTTTATGACACCAAAGGTTGTAAGTATAAATATCAAACTATAAGTATTAAATAACTAAAAAAATAATTGTGCGGTATGTATGTAAATTCCCCTTTTTTTTAGAAACATTGTAAAATAAGTGGGTGAGCCGAAACTTATTGTGAAAGCGAACCTTCTTTTATGTTCAGGTTCACCATCTTCTGCTTCACCATCACATAACTCCTCATCGTCGCTTGAACCTTCCAAGTGCTCCGAAAGTCCATGCCCCGATTGCTGCTCTTTGGTAGATAATAGACCAATCATACCATTGCTCGTTTCGTTGAGATGATCATCCTTTCGTAACAATTCAGAGTTATTCGTATCAGGATTTCCATTTAACTCAGCTCCACCTTCTTTCGACCGTCTGCTTGGTATCGGACGATCATGATTGTGTTGTCCCATATAGATTATCTCCGTCACTTGGCCGTCGACGGAGCGTTCAACCTTTTTCTTAACCGGACACTTCACCTGGGTACATTTGTAATAACTCCTCGGATACTCGCAACCTTTCACCTGCTTCTGCCCATACTTGCGCCAGTTGTATCCGTCATCAGCAGGTTTATCGGCAACAATGGTGGCGGGCTGAGATATTTGATCAAAATCTGATGAAAAAGCAGATTCAGGATAGAGAATATTGGCGCCATGAGTGATGGGAAGCATAGGTTGGGAGGATGCTGCCATGTTAATGGTGGAGACTGGCTGTGTCAAGGAAGATGATGGAAGAGAAGAAGAAAATTCTGCTAAAGCATGTTGATGCGAATTTCCAAGGTTTACCTGCATATAGCCATTCGCCCAAGGTGTCAACTTACTAATATCAATGATTTAGTAATTTAGTATTGGAGCAATGCGTAAAATGACAATGATAACGATGGAAAGGAGTGCTACGCAAGCTTTAGTGGATTGGCATGAGATTATTTGATGAACGAGTGATGATTTTGCATTGTTAGGATACTGAGAGTATTGGGTTTAGTTTCATATTGGAAGTTTAAAAAATGTCATTACAGAAGTAACAAGTAGTTGACCATCACTCATAAACTTAAATTTTTTGGGTTAAAAAAGAGGCATTTACATACATACCACACAATTCTTATGTATTTACATATCTAGCACCTAAACATTCATATTTAAATGCATACCATTCATATCTTTAACATCACATCAAAATAGCACCATCACTATCTTTTCAAATATCAAATACTCATGCATAACTTTATGACACCAAAATATTATAAATGTAAATATTAAACTTCGGGTGTTCGATGTGTAAAATACATGAGAATTGTTTGGTATGTATGTAAATTTACCTGAAAAAGAAATGCTAGATAGTTGACCCTCATCCATAAACTTTAAGTTTTTGAGTTTAAAATTAATTTGATCACTGGTATATTTGGCCCAACTTTGATCTCCCTATCATTTACATTCCTTCACAAAAAGGTGATATCAAAGACAAAGCTTAGCTAAGAGGCGAATAATGACCAATGTGGACATCTCTTTTATAAGGGAAAGATAGTCAAGGCATGAGAGAGACTTGAAATCAAGTTGAATTCAAATAAAATAAAAGATGATAACATATGCGCGGAGAATGCTGAAGGCAAAAATAGATCTAAAAAAAAGAGAAACATAGGGATGAGTTCTTAGTTCTTATTCTTATATTACTTATTTTGAATAAACTTATAATAGATCTAAAAAAAAGAGAAACTTATAATCCTTAGTAGTAGAACGATTGCTGGTAGAAGAAAAATAATGATTTGGCCTAACTATATACAATTAGAGCTATTAAACTAAACTTACAATTCTATTTGGAACAAGAAAGCCAGCACATAGCATTCCGGACTTCTAAGCATACCAATTAAAAGCCATGCCTGTAAAAGTCATGCCTGCTATGTATGTAAATACCTCTAAATAAAATAGTGCCCTGTGATGGCATAAAAGAATAAAATACAAGTTAATGCATATATAAAGGTGCTTATATATATTTGTATCAAATAAAAAAATGGAAAAAAATAAGCTCTGCATAATATATACTTGAACCTCTAAATCCATAATATATATAAACTAGCAACAAGATATAATCTAAAAGATCCCTTGGCTATTTGTCCTTATCAACATGTGTAAACCTACTCCATTAGATCTTGATTATTTCTAAATCATCTTGCGTGCTCCTATTTTGCTTAGTTCTGGGGTACTCTTAGATCTGGATCTTAAAAATTGTACTCCATTAGAAACCTTTGCTTGTAACCATGCTACAAAAACAAAATTTTTCTATGTATAATGAAGAAAAAAAATAATAACTAGGACATCACAATGCAACACAATGCACATTGTCACAGAAATAATTTATGATCAACAATTTCTAATTTGAAATTTTAATAGATTTGATGCACTGTGCTTAAAAAATAAAAAATACAAATGGCTATCAATCCAACATTTGCAAAAAAATATCTCAATCTAATGCAAAGAAAATAACTAAACTAGCTAAACACCAAATAAACAACTCCAAAGTAATCACATGAGCACCAAAAGAATTGCACTAGGATGGATGAAACATAAACTAATTAATTTGGATTCATATCTCATAGGTCTATCAACAAATGATTAGATTCAAGTATATGGCCAAAATTAGAAGAAATGGGAGTTATTTGAAATATGAGCAAAATAGAATGTATATCTCATGTAGTACTCTACATAAATAATTGAGAATATTAATATATAAAATTAATCAGAATAGTTGTGGTAAAATTTAAACAACGGACATGCAATAAAATCAACTAAAAATTACAATAAAAAATACCAATTTCAAAAGAATGTTTCCTACAATGAAACAATGAGATTGTGACAATCAGAATTTTTAACTATCAAGATATAAGTAGCTTTATCCAAACAAAAGCCGTGATTTTGTCCCCATAGGCAGCTTCCTAAGAGGTCAGATAAGAGTGCTCCAACAAGAGCATGCTTCCTATGTGTGTTACCATAAGCAAGCATCGTATACCACAAAATAAATACAAAGGAGATCAATTAAACATATAAAAAAGATGCACTGAGATTTATATAGTTCAGCATCGCCTCAAGTCCACATCCATGAAAATGAGAGATTAAAAAGATACAATAAACATAATGTATAAATTTACTTAGCCTTCCCAAATCCCAAGTACAAGTAAATGCTTATTAAGAAGAAACTTAAAAAAAAACTCACATATGAGTTTTAAATAAGATCATGGTATCAACCCAAAGTTCAATGATGTGAAAGAGACAATAGAGACAACTCTATCGCAAGCTATTAAAACAATCTCTAATTATTTGAGAAAACCACAAAGGGCCCTTGCATAGAACTATTCCTTCGAGCTAACACTTTAGTAGCAATAAAATTCATATAGTGGAACTAAAGAAAATGGTCAATATTTGATATGATGAAATTTTTTGCCAATTAACAATCCTAAACCAACAAAAACCTAATATGTGGACCTGAGATCGTGTCCTCTTCCTCACATGAATCACTTGATTCCATCTTTGCCCTGATTAGCGTGCAAATCGTGTGATTCTGCCACCTCCAAGAACCTCGAGTTGTGATTTAAGAAGTTTAAACAACTATTTAAAATTATTCAATTGAAGGTGTGCTTTGAGGCCAACCTCAACTCAATTTCAAAGAACACTTTTAGGCATATGCCTCGAGAAGCTTGGGCGGTGCATAAGCGTCACATTAGTTGAGGTGCGCCTCAGGGCGTGTCTCTCCTCAATTCCACTAAAGTGTGCACCCCTCGAGCTTAATTTTTTTCTTATGCTAGATGATTCAAACATGAGTCAAAGCCTCACTTTGATGTGCAAGAGCTCCCATCTCCCCACTCAGCCTTCCAAGCGCTGCCACCTACTTCTTTTGCCGCCATCACCGCGGCTATTCCGCCGCCTGCTTCTTTTGTTATTCCTTCTACTGCTCTTGCTAAAGTCAACCCCATGTACTGCTCATGTTGGTGTTGTAGCCTACTGCTCTAGCTTTTAATTATTTATTACATTCTTATTTAGCAATATGAAGATTATTACGTTGTTTGAGTTATAAGAGTAGAGACGTTTACTATGCTAAACTCATCTTATTTCTATGATATTTTATGTTACATTCATTTCATTTTTATGCTAGTTTGATGACTTAATTAGTTGATGTTTGCATTGTATTTTTATTTTATGCAAGTTGTTACATGATAACTTGCAGCTTACGTAATTTGTTATTTCATATAAACATAATTTATCACTTTTTAAAATGCTAGATTGATAATATATTTTTTTAATAAATTTATAAGTTATGATGTTAATAAATTATTATTTTTTTCTCCTTTATTTTAATTTAAGCAATTTTCAAACTTTGAGGCAAACGCCTCTGACCTCTTTGAGGCTTATGCAGGAAGAACTAGGTATGACAGTAGCGAACCCGCAGAAAAAACAAAGCAAAGATAGGTCTTGTTGGCAGGAGTTGTTAGCAGGCGGAGGAGACATGGAATCTTTCTACATTGGGGGTAGTGCTCCTGTACTGTAGGGGACGGTCCTCTAAACCTAGACCCTGCATTTCCATTCCAAGCAAGGGTGGGACTGACTCAACTAATAAGGCTCACTGGTCGGATCAAACCCAAGGCCAAAGGACAGACACATCAGAATAATTGGTTGAATCCCTTCATGCTATGGATCTCTATGGCAATTACAACGATTTATTCGTGAATCATCAGAAGATTGCCAATTACCAACCTTTAGCCGAGAACTGATAGAAAGAGATTTTTGATCACTGGTAGTCGTGCTTCATTCTGGTGAAACAAATGCAAGTATCGATTTAGCGAAAGAGGGTCTCGTCTCCTACTCAAGCTACTCGACCAGATTGCTACAATGAATGTAACGGAGGAGAAGTACCACTAGAAAGAACTCTTTTCTTGTAGAATGAAAGACTCTCTTTTCGTGCTCAGAGTCTATAGGGACAGGAAAGGATTGGGGCTAGAATGAGTACCATTATCTTGAAGAAAGATAAATCTTGGTAAAATGATAAAATTGACGGTACTGAGCGATCATCATCTCTCTTCTACGTGAGATATCCTGCTAGTCTATCCAGGAATGTCTCTGGAATCATCCTAAAATGATGGATGGAACTCTTTTGTCCGTGGAAGAAGAAGTCTTGTCTTTGCTTAGGAAGACTTCGCTTCTTTTTTCTAGCACCTTTGCCTCTCGTAGGCCTGTCCCTCTGCATCTACACAATGACATATAGAAAGAAAAATGGCAAGCAAGACGACAAGTCTAGTGAATGAAAAATGCCCCAATACCCAATTGTGCAATATTAAACATTGGTTCAAACATGAACATTGGTCTCCCTTGCTCATCCCTTACACCTCGTAGCTGCTAACCCTCGTTCCTCCTTAAATTAAAGATAAAAAATAGATAAGCCTCCTCATGCTCTACTTCCTTGATCAAGAATATCAAAAATAACTAGTTTTTTTCTCCTTTTTCTTCTCCTTAATGCCATAAGGATGTCGTACCAAGTCCTCAATCTAAACTCCTCTTCGTTCAAGGTCTTACTTCGACATCATTGTAATTATTTTTATTGCTTGTGTTCCTTGCAAAAATTTTTTTAAGATCACTCCTTGACCTTTGCAATTGAAGTCGTAATCCTTGTCATTTTGATATAGGTATGTCAAGTTCTCCTAAACCATAACTAAAGTTTAAATTTAATAATATTTACGTTAAGCCAAACAATTAAATTTAATATCATATGCATATTTCATAAAATTAATAATTACTTCGAGTTGATGGTGGGATAAATTTTGGTGTCAATATTGCATTTATATCAGTTAACCACCAGTTTTAATGATTATATGCGATTTTATTTTAATTGAGGTTCTTATCATGTAGGGCATTTAAGTTGATTATTAACCTGACGTGATTAGATTGGATCTCAGTTAATTTTGATTTTTGGATTACTCGTTTTGAGGTAACTATTTATTAGAGGATAGATGTATCATTCTTCACCATGAGCATTATTTTTATGTTTGTAAAATGTTCTTAGATATTTTACAGAATATCAATCCTACAAGTCACATTAAATAATCATCATATATACACTTGTAGACGTCATTTAATGTTCATAATGAAATATTATGTGATGTGAATAGCATCCCATGAATTATTGTTGTATAAATTCCTGAATATTAAAATAATCCTTATAACAACAGCATTCTTTATATACATTATCTTAGTTAAATATATTATATCTAATTACTGCAATTATATTTTTATTATGAAGATATCATGAACCATATTACTTGTTTATAATATAAAGAATATATATAATTGCTTGCAATGGATGTGTAATTCAATAGAACTTTTTTGAATATTGTCTAGTCAAGTTAACAGGCACAACCACAAGGTGAAGACTTTTAAAAATCATTAGAATTTCAAAGATTGGTGTCGACCTTCTCAATTTCAAAGTGTCCTAGTAAATTAACTATAAAAATATACAAAAATAAAAAAGACATGATAGAGGATCAATGAATTATCTTTAGATATGCATATTAGTGTCGCAAATATATATGCTAGTAAGGAAAAGAATTGCTTATAGTTTTCATATGACTATAAACACCAGTATATTTTATTTTAAAACATAAAATAACTTTTTATTCATGTAATAAAACATTACTTGAACTGAATAATTTGATAATACTTATTACGATATTATTCATATTAAATCAAGCCTCTTTTATTTCCCGTGTTGCATGGCTCAATACTGAAGTCATTTATGCTTTCAAAAATAGAATTTGTTTATTGGGTTTGAAATATCAAACTCATTCGTTATAAAATTTTCTTATAATAGATCCTACCATATTGTTTAGTGGGCCGTATTGCAGGAGCAAATTTCTTTGTAGTAGTATTGCATTTCATATTTAAGTTTGTATTATAGTTTATATTTGCACTTCTATTGGGTTAGCGTTGTTTTTTATTAAGTTATTGTTTTTCCGATGTTTTTATTACTTATTGCTTTTGCTTCCCCGTCGAACTGTTTTGATAAATTTTATTGATAAAATAAAATATTATTTATTTTTCTATGCTTACTCTTAATGCTTATAATTATTTGTATATGAAACTTTCCACTTGTAAGTACAAATTATATTTAATAGATCTTGGCTTCTAAGGTTTACGTCAAAATTGAGCTTAACCCCTTCATCATGCCCTATTTTACCGGAGTGTACCACCTTCCGAACTCAAAACATGGCATATTACCCACAAAATCACTAATAAGAAATAGATTATTAACCACTAGACCATCATATATGGAATAATAGAGAAAAAATACCAAAGCAAAACAAAGGTTTTAAACCAATACCTGATCAATTCACAATCAAATCTATCATAACAACATTAATTAAGTCAAATAAGAGCCAATAAGTTTTCCACAATTAAAAGCTTTTAGAGCAAATATGGACTAAAATCAAAGCCTAATTCCCTCCATACACTCTCAGCTTCAACAACATGATTGGCATAACCAATCCTAATCACCATTAATTAAGGATAAATCACAAGGCCTACCTCACTGGTTTGAAACTACTCTAAACAAAAGGCCAGCTTCCCCATATCTAAACTAAACGTTTAAAAAGCCCTTACAACTCTTCAATTCCTTCACCATTATTAGCTAAATTCAAGTTGATTTCACAAAAATCAGAGAACACCGGAGTAGCCGGAGTGAGGAAGGTGCGAATAAACTGAAGAGAAATCCGCACCATACCTAAACCCAAAAGTAACGCCCAAAACACAATGAAGAACATCAATCATGGAGAAAACCACGCACCAAATTAGATGAAAACAGTGCCGGAGAATCAAGCAGACCTCCTGGGCTGAATCCAGGCGGCACCATAAACAACTGCGACTGCACCACCGAAAAATTCATCGGTCTGCTATGACCCAAGTTCAGACTCGCTCCTTCTTTTCCACGTGCATCGATCGCCGCCGCCGCCTCCTCCGGAGGCTGCGCCGGCGATGCCATAGCTCCGGCGAGGAGCTGCGAGAAGGACCGGTACTCAGGCTCCGCTTCGAAGAGGCTCGATGCGAGCGTCATCGGACCGGGACTCGCCTCCGCCGGACCGCCGCGGAAGAGGCTTTCGACGACGGATTTCGCCGGCAGTGAGATTGACGGCCGTTTCACCTCCGCCGGCGATGTAGCAGCGCCGCCGTTCTCCGCCATCTGATCGGAACCGTGGAACAGGAGACGAGCAATTACCACTCGCCGAAAGGTCAAACCAATTCCTCATATTGTCTTGGAACATTTACATTCATACCACTTAGATTCTATGTATTTGCATGTCTATCACCTAAAGTTTAATTTTTAAATATTTGTTAACTTAAATATGATGAAAATGTGTATTTTATGTTTTAAAATATTAAAATAATGATTAAAAAAACATCTATATATATATATACTAATTATATATATATATATATATATATTGTATCATAGCAAAGTAGATACAATATGGGACATTTTGGGCAATACATATTTATATGGTCGGGAGCTTGAGATGTTGTCTGGTTGAATCGAGATCCGGGCGGCTATGCACCAGGATGCTGAAATGGTGACCGGTCAGGTCATGACCATGAAAGCTACGGTTGAAGGGTTGATCGGGAACTGTTGGTCGTCTAAGATCTGGGTGGTTCTTATCATCTGTCAAACTGGATTGAAGAATGTCGGTGGATTCATCTGCACGAGATTTATTATCGGTGGCCCTTTGAGAGGATAGCTGAGCTTCGTCCGCCATGGGATTATTGACCGGGTACATAAAACAAAGGTGTTATATGTAAATATATAAGAATTGGAGAGTATGTATGTAAATATATAAGAATTGGAGGGTATGTATGTAAATGTTCCTATTGTTTATTGGAAAACTTGAAATCGGTCTTTTTGGAAGTATTAAAGGGTTATTGTATTGCTGTCGTGGAAGTTGATGGGCGTGGAAATTTGTATGGGTGGAAAAGGAGCGAGTTAGGGAAGATGAAATGGAGATAAATTCACTCCAAATTAAATTCAGATTCAAATGTGAAACCGTTGACTAAAATGGTTCTAGGGCTAAGGTATACGTTGACTTTGAGCTCGCTCTACAAATTGACTCATCTGTGTTTGATGAGCTCGGCACACGGACGTGGATTGCACGCGGCCCAATCAGACCGCTACGGCCCAATCAGACCGCCGTCTGAACGTGCAGTCGCCGCAGATAATATTTTCTTCTCAAATTGACTCATTAACTCGTGACATAACACGATAATAAAAATATTGATATAGAATACGCTAAAAAATATTAAAATTCAAGACTATTTATAAGTTATTAAAAATATATTTATTTCTATTATTTAATTTTTCTATTAAATTATTTCTTATATTGATCTCATTATTGTTCATTCCATTTGTTATTTTATTATAGCACTAATTTGAATTAATATTATTTTCTCTTTCATAATGAACGAATTAATTTGTGAATTAGCTTGAGCTCGAGCTCGAGCTCGACTTGACACATTTACACCCTAAAGATAATTTATAGAATTAGTTAAGGCCCGTTTGGTTTGCCAAAAATGAAACACAATGTATTTATAAAGTACTAAGATTACACTATATTTGAAATAGTTTCGAGTTGTTTGGTTTACTGTAAAATAAACATGTTTCATATTTTTTGTTTGGTTTGAAGTTGATTAAAAACAACGTATTTACATTGGCAAAGGGTAGCGAGTGAAACAACGGGCAGTGGCGTCGGTTGGGGGGCCTGCAGCGGGTGGCAGCTAGCCGCGAGGGACGACCCCACGACAGTGAGCGGCAGACAGGCAACGGCGGGCGGTGGGCGGCGGCAACAGGCAGCGACCAAAGGGCGGGAGACAGCAATAAACGGGGGGCATCGGCGGCGGCAAGCGGTGGCGGCAGGCAGGGACAACTTGCCTATAACATTTTACATAAATAATGTAATTCAAATTCGATCAAATCAGTCGAATTCTAAAAACCAAAATAAAATCCAGTGTAAACTTCAAATTCATTAAAACTTTGCATTGTATTTGCAAATTTTCATACCAAGCATAAAATTTTCTCAAATCCCTGCAAAAAATTTACAGTGCACAACTGATTCGCTCAACCAAACGACCCCTTAATTTAACACGTAAATGGAATATCCGTGGCAGTTTGGTTTTCCTATTTTGTATTTTAAAACTTAGATTAAATTATATTGAGATAAATAGTTTATATTATGATTACTCCATATTAAATTATGTGAGATAATTTTTTTTTTCATTTTTGCAAATAATGTATTTTTTTGTCTAAATTATCTTAACTTGATGGCATGACTGATGCATTATATATATATA